ATTTGTTTTGGTCTCTATCTTTCATGTTAAGACTTTCTGAAAATGGTTGATACTCCTAGTCCACTAAAAGCTTTTTTGGATGCTTTGCATCAGCAGAGCTTGTTGAAGGATTTCACTGCAGGGTGACCATGTGGAAGCTGCCAAGTGTCAGTATGTGTAGATCTTTTCTCTTGGACTGAGTTTCTCTGGAGGGCTCTTCCTATCCCCTTCCTTTGGTTATAATCTTGGCCATTGGTATTCTATGAGCCTAGGGGTGGGAATGGAGTGGTGTCAGCAATTCGTAAGAACTACCACTTAATCCCCACTCTCAGCTCCATGCTCACCACTGCCCTCGGCTTTGCCTGATAATCTCTCATCAAGATGTTCTCAGGTTCAACTTTTCCCAGGATTAAACTTCCAGTTTTTGTCAGAGGAGAGAGGCAGTTGCCTAGCTGTGCAGGCTAGGGTTAGTGATGGAGGTGGGTGAGGGTGGGGAGGCGAGTTTAATCCACTGTTTCCAAGGCTGTTATACAGCCTCTACTCTTGGAAGTAAACGGTGCTTCCCAGCTGAGTTTTTCAGGGATCTGCAGTGTCTTCATTCTTGTTGGCTTTTCCTCCTGTAGCCATTTAAATTTGTTTTCTGTACTCTTCTACATTTATTGGCCTTCCATCTTCCAAAAATTTCTTGAGATCTTTCATCAGCTGAGGTGTAGTCTCGTCGTCACTTTTTTTGGATTTATATCCTTGTTTATTCCTTACTCTCATTATTTGTGTGGCTTTTGGAAGGGAGTAGAAATAAACAAGTTTGTTCAAACTACTAGGTTCAGTCAGAAACCCCTGTTATTTTTTTGGTAGTTAAAAAACAATCAAGGGGGTCAGAAGAGTGGCTCAGTTGGTTAAGAGCTCGCTCAAGAGTTTGAGCTCTGAGCAACAGCGGTTCGATGCCCGGCCTGAGCTGAGCAGCTACTGAGCTGCCAACAGATGGCAGGATGGCTCAGCTTAAAAAAAAAAAAATAAAAATACTACTCAAGTATAAAATTCTATGATCCAATATCCCACGCAGAAGAATTCCAAATAATTTATGTAGATACTCCACCTTCAAGAAGGTGGAGCATAGCTCTTTACTCCTTAAGTGCGGGCTGCCCATAATGACTTCCTTCCAATGGAACAGTATGGAAAGTTCCTTCCAAAGATTAAGTTTATAGTACAGAAACCTAATAAACATGACCTCAGTCCTGTGATCAAGGTCAACATCAAGAGTCATAAATCATATTGATAGTATGTATGTATCCTTGATATGATGTGATAAAAATGGCAATTTACCTCTGGAGCCTTCACCCCCTCCCCCAAATATATAACCTCTAATTATAAGAAAAATATCAAATTCCAGTAGAGGGCATCCTACCTGACCAATACTCCTCATAACTGTCAAGGTCATAAAAAACAAGAGTCCAAGAAACTGTCACAGTCAAGAGAAGCCTAAGAAAACATGATTGAATGTAATGTGGGATCCTGGAACAGAAAAGATAGATAAAGACTGAGGAAATATGAATAAAGTGTGAACTTTAACTTTTTTGGACTTTAATAATAATGTATCAATATTGGTTCATTAATTGTACAATAACAAATGGACCAGACTAATGTAAGATGTTAATAGTAAGAGAAACTGGGTGCTGAGTGTAGGGGAACTCTGTCCTATCCTCAACTTTTCTGTCTTTTAAAACTGTTCTAAAAAATAAAGTTTATTTAAAATGTTTCTATGAAACTAATAAACACTGACAGCTGAATCTATTTACAGAGAAAACAGGACTGGTTTGTGGGTATGCCAGAGTGAATGGGGTTCTTGGTTAGTGATGTGGACATTGATTCATCTCAAAATTCTACTTGGGAGTCCTAGATAGTTCTTCAAATTTGGCTACAGTTGTTTGTTCAGACACAGCACGATAAACCATCCTGAATTTACTTCGCCCTCCTTATGGCCCAGCATCATGCAAGATACCCTGAAGGGCGCATAAGACCCTTCTTTCAGAGGGTGTACAGTCCATTAATGAAGACACTTAAATAAAACACACACACACACACACACTGTGATTAGAGTATCTGCCTTGAGCTTAAACCTTAATTTTCAGTATCTTATTCTATAATGATAAATAATCTGAGTGTATATATGTCTTTTTTTTTAAAAAGTGAGGAATAGTTCTTTCCAAAGATACCTAGACTTGGCACAGAATAAAAAGTGAGTATCTGCTTAGGTAGGCTTGGAGAGGCAGAACCCTTACAAAGACTTTACTAAGGCAGGAATGGTTAGGTCAGATAAATTGCAGAGGCCACATTAGTTAGAATACGTGTGTCTCAAGACACTCAATTTGAACTAGCTTAGCACAAAAAGCAAATTTATTGGCTCATACATGAAAGGTCCAGAGGTAGAATTTCGCCTTACATGATGGTCAATGGATATGTTCAAACGGAACTGCACTCATTTTACATAAATGGTCCAAATGATAAACAAATCAGCTTTATTTCTTCCAAATGTTCTCTAGGACAGACTGTTGGGTATGTTTTTGTGGCACAGCGCTAAAAACTGAAAAGTATAGCTGAGGTATTTATTACCTTGTCATCTATTGAATAAAATATAAGGCAACGTTGTTCAAGAAGGGGGAGGCGGGGGTTAGGATGAGAGCTAAGGAAAAATAAAAAAGTTTTAAAAGGAAACAGAAGAGGAGAAAGGGATCAGACTGGGAATCTTGGAAAGCTCAATTTCCTGCGCTGCTCATGGTTTACCTTCTCCCAACTCCTATCTCTATTTGTTCCTGATTAGATTTCTTGGGTCATTAAATCAAAGTAGGCAGATTTATGAGAAGGTACATTATTATTGTGGATATCATCTTGTTTTGTAAGGTAATACCATGACTGTTTCTGAAAAATTTAGATGAGGAAACTAGAGAGAAGATCCCAAAAGCAAGCTTCTTTATGGGAAAATAAAATTCAAACACCTGGGTTTTTTCCTTTTTCACTTTCTAGGTCCATATGGTGCTAAAGTTAACATCACTGTTTCAGTCACAGAGATTAGGGTCAGGAGGAAACAATAGGAAACTGCGTTGAGACTGGCACTGATGGATCAAAAATGCCATTTGTCACATTTGAAACAGCATTTGTATTTACATTATGTTGTGCTTTCTAAATGAACTTGAATCATTTCATGATACAGTGTAACAATTTTGAAAGCTGAAAATGACAAGTTTCCAAATCTTATGCTACATGCTCAAAGTAGATTTTCATTTCTCAGATTTCCACAATTCATAGAGATCGGTTTAGAAGAGGCTAATATCAAGCCAAACAATTAACAATTACTTCTCATTAAAAACAATATATTTACATATATAGGTCCAGGTTAAATCATATCCAGGATCCTAGGTTGGGCGATGGGATAGGTGAAGTTATGCAAGTACTTTTGTGCTGCTTAAGGATTGCCTCACTAGCCTCCAACTCTCTGTCCTGGATAGGTTACCTTTTACCACAAGTTATTTCTAACAGCATAGTTCAAATCAAATTCTCATTAACTGGCTTCAAGAAACTGTTTTGCAAGGGATGTAAGGGTCATTTTAAATAAGTTGTTTCTGCTATGATTATCTTCAACAACTAAGGCTTCTACTAAACAGCAGCTATTTTTTAGTATCCACTAATTAAGAAAATGATATTATTATTGGTTCCATTTTATTAATCATACACGGAAACATATGGGAATCAATAGTAGCTCCGTTGGGCATATTATATATTTTGGCATAGCTAGAGCTTAGCTTTTATGTAAAACCACCAACAGTAGAAATTGAGTTTTAGGGCTCAATTTGGGTTTTTAAACGCTAGCTCTCCTGTTAATTGTGTGGCCTCGGTCAAGTCAAGAGGCTCTCTGAGTCACTGATAAAATTTGGATACCCCCATCTACCATGGAAGGATCCTAAAGGGGAAGGATCAGAAACGTTTGTAAACTATCAAAGACATTACAAGGCATATAGTAGGTGTCACATAAGTGATAGTATTAATAACTGCATCCTCATGTTTCATCTGAAAGCAACTCTATAGTCTCTCCACAATGTTTACTAAAAGAATTAAGTTTTTTAAATGCTGGCATATATGTGATTAAGCTGAGTGGGCCTTGAAATATCTAGTATTGATATCTATTTAAGCTAATCAAAGTTAAGTTGCCGTTACCTACAATTACCAGAAATTTAGTAGAAATTAGTGTTTCTTACCTTAAATTTACATAATTGAATCATATTCTTCTACCTCAGGTTTTCAGGAATCAACCAGGATTTGTCAAACACCTGCCAAATACTCAGCATCAGGAAGAGTCCAGTGATATGAATTATTAAAATTAGAGATTAAACATTAGATTCAAATGCTAATAAGGAACTATCCTTTCCTGTTAGTAACCCTCAGTTCATGTGATAGTGAAATAGCCAAGCCCTCATGAACAATGTCTCATTAGTAGTGTTAGAAGGCTATCAGTAGATTTTAAAATTAATGAGAAAAATCATTTACTTCCCTTGTTTTATTAACAGTCACTAGAACTTCAACTTCAGTGTTTAATTTTTCCTAACAGGTTAGCTACTTCCAAGAAAAACAATCATGTGTAGACCGGCATTGCAGATAACAAAATATTATTACCTTGTACTTGCTTCTCTTTACCAGGTGGTTTCGGTAAAAACCGAACTCCCAACGTGTCTACCTGGTTGTCACTTCACATCCATCGATACAGCAAAAGTCTTGATTTTTGCCTCTCATGATTACCAAACAAGCAAACAAGCAAATCCCTTCCAAGAAAGGGCTGCAGCAAGAATCCTGAAAACCCACAGAACACCCCCCCACGCCATTACACTAAACACAGAATTAATACAGATACAGGTGACTTTCATGATCCTCAAATTCTTCCAGTACACCTGAGAAATTAAAGAGTCAACACTTCTACTTTAAAAAAAAAAAAGTTAAAAAAAGAAATAAAATAATAACTGTACTCAGGGCAAGAAAAGGAAAACAGTATCTTTATTGTGTGTAGTTCTAACAAACATTCACTATGTGCACATTCCAGCAGAAAGAGACAAAGATCTTTGTTCAAAATATGCTGAAATAAAATAGGTAAACAAACTCCATTATTGAATACACAAAAGGAAATGTTAATATTACTCATTCACAGTCAAGGATGAAGTAAAAAGAAAGGAAGTTAAGTAATCGTTAATAACGTTTTAGCAAATGTAAAATATGGATGTGTGCAAAGAGTGGCTCGTAAAACTCATGAGGAAGATGCTAGATGTAGGGTAGGTAACTTAAATACCTCTGCTTCTTGGAACCTCCCTCTGAGATCACCCCACAAATTCCAAACCAGGCTCTTTCGGAGCACAACAGCCCAATAGAACCAAACTCCCCATTACTTTTGTGATATATACAAACCGAATGAGATGGTTAAAAAGGAATCAATTTCTCATTGAGACAAGACATGTCTGAATCTATTTCTCCCGGGAAGGAAGTAATGAACATTAACATTCCACATTTTAATCTCCTAAAACAGAATTTAACCAGATAGCTCTCACTTGAGGTTTTAAGCATGAGATACCAAGAGTAATGATATACTGGGCTGTAAAGCATTTTTCATTGCTCTACTTCAGGACTAAATGACTATGAACGCAATGATGCTCTTATTTCACAACATATGCTTTTATGACAATTGCTCACAGAACTTTACAGGATCAAATTAGAGGTTCTAATGGATTTTTGTTTCTGCTTAAGTGGTCACATAAGAATTAAACATAATATAAACTATCCCCACCACTTTCTTGTCTTTATAAATGTGTAAGTCATTTGGAAACCGAACCAATTCCCAAGAGACGGGCTGGGAAATTTTGGAGACCCGGCACTAATATCCCTATTTTGGTGGCATCAACCGTCCCTCTTCTCCTCCTTTTGTGATCCCCGGCCATTATGGGTACCGTATGGTGTGCAGCCACAGCTAAGTTTCCTTGGAAATAAACCAAACACCCCAGAGACTGGTTCCAGGAGACACAGTCAGCCAACAGGGACTGGCTCCACTCGCTTCTGAGGGGTTTTCATGACCTACCAATGTTGAGACTGTTTTGAAAATTCGAGTCCACCTCTTAAAACAAAAGTCCTTTTTTGATGGATTTGGCTAACATCGTGCATTACTTTATTGTTCAGAAAAACCTCTGCAAACACTCACACAAGCTCTACTTTTCACCTGGCTGTTTACATAGGCAGCAGAATAATAGCAAATGGACTCAAAAGTGGTTTTTATAATATAAAGTGACATCACATTAGCAGATCAAAAGAAGCCCTGGGTATTAGATGGATTTCATGGATGGTAGAGACAAAGTCTAAAAATCTTTTCCTCTGGCTTTGAGTAAAAACAAGTCCAGATATAAACAGGAAAAGGCAATCAATATGAAATAGAAAAACATACCTTTTGCATTGGTGTTTACCCTAAAAATTATCAAAAACACCAATTTTACTTAAGACTATCGTTCTTTAATGTTTCTTATAAGCCAGATGTTTTTCATTCAATTCTGGAGACTGCCAGCACACTTTTGAATGATCCAAGTTATCTTCCGGCTTAGTTTTAGCCTGAACTTTCGTTCCCTTTCCAGCTCCTCAATACTCCTTTGTTTTTTACTTCTACCCAACATGGTCCCATGTAATCATGCAACCTACAGGAATTCTATACCAATTCTTATTCATGGCAACCCTTCCTTGTCTTCAAATGAAGGAGCATCAGTAGTCACACCACTTTGGCTACACAATAACCAATAATTTTTTTTTAATAAATGATCTTAAAGTGGCATCTTATACTACATACAAAACATTTTCTAACAATAAAAGTTTGACTATACCCCTATCCCTAATGTATAAAATTAATCAAGAACCCTCCCCCCACACCCAAATCACTCCAGAATGTCATACCCTAGTGTGCAAATATAAGGGTAATATTATTTTGATGAATTCTGAATTCACTCAACTGCTAAATCACAGGATACAAGACCTGGGTTGAACTTTTTCTTAAATAGTTTGCATGGCAGACACTGGTTTGCTGGGCAGTTTCCCATCTTGTCAAGTCCCTGGCAAGCAGGACGCAGGGAGGAGATACTGAGCAGAGCCCATGCACCTTCCTGACCACGCTGCTCCCTGCGGCACAGGACAATGGCTCAGCAGCAGACTGGAAATCCTCAAAGGATGGGGACAAAAATCACCACAAACAGTTGTTAACAGAAAACAGCCAGTGTACTGTCTCCTCAGGTGTTTCCACAGGAAAAAAAAAAAAAAAAGTAAAGTCCAATATGCCAAAGAAATTCCTGAACCAAGAAGAAACAGTAAGGTAATTCTAAGTAATAACCTACTCCTCAATGAAACAGTCATCTGAGAAAAAAAACTACCAGTTTTTTTTCCTTTTATTTTAAATGGAAAAACAACAAAACCACAAATTGGAGCCATGGAGGTAAAAATACAGATGAAACGGAAAACATTCTCTTGTTGCCATCTTCCCCTCTCCAGTGCCACTTGACTATGGAAGTTATTTTACTAGGGCAAGCAGAAGATCAAATATTATATCTCTGATCAATTTGGAGCCCCTTACTTTTGATAATATAGGGAATAAGAAAGTTTCTAACCAATAAACCAAAAAAGCAGCAAGAATCCCTGGTAAAGCTCTATAGACATAATTACAAATTTACATTTTACTAATAAAAGATGGTTGGGGGAAAGAAAAAAGATGAATAGAAATGGGTGCCAAACCAAAGTAAAGGATGAAGTCTTTGGTGCTTTTCCTAAACTTCTGTCCTATAGTATTTCTCAGTATTTTTCAAACGAAAGATTGCTGTGAATTCGCCCTGTGTCTCCATTCCAAGAAATATTAATAAAAGGGAAGCACGGTTCTGTCCAGCACCACTTGATAGACTGAGGAGGTGGCAAGAGCTACCTGCTCCACCAGCTCGGGAGGGAGGAGACGACCCCATGGATCTTTCTGGTTTTAACAAATATAAACAAGGAACAAGATCATTTGGCAGTTGTGGTTGAAGTCATAGGTGTGCACCTTTACTTCATGAATTAAACCCCTTATGACAAATAATAGAATTAAGCCAGAATTCAAAATAATATTTACTTACAAGAAAAATGGAAAAAGAAAAGCTTCAAAACCCGAGCGTGCAGCTGTGTTAAGAATGTCTAATGCGCATTCCAAGGATTGGAAAGCAGGCATTTTTACCAAAGGGCGATGTCACTAGGACATACGGATTGCAATAATTAACAGAAAGTTTTGTGCTATGAAAGTGCTCGTGGAAACCAGTGAAGAGAGGAAACATGGGCAAGGACACAGAACAACGAGCAGGTGCTTGGGAGTAAGGCTCTGAGAAAGGACACTGTCCCCAGGTCTGAGGCGGATGCCTGGCCAACCATCTGGGTTCCAAGGGGGAAGAAAACGACTCTGGCAGGATTTGAGGATAGCGCACCGCTGCAGCCTTCAAACAAGTCTCTGGTTTTCACTCCCAAGTGGATGTGTTTTCCAGGCGTCACCAAGGCCTCCTCAGGAGGACTTGCTTTCCGAAGTGTAGCAATAACGGTACAGGAAACCTAACAGAATGGCGCCTATGATGGGGAAAATCCAGTATGACCAGCAACTAGAAGTGGGGGAAAAGCAATGAAGTCATGAACATTTTATACCAAACATCTGTCATCTTTCAGCACTCACATTTAATATTCTTATAAGCAAAGAGTTTTTATTTACTCTAGGAAATTTAACAGCTTCTATCATACAGTAGTTGAAGAAAAACAAGTATTTGGATTGGAGTGACAATATTAAATGATATTTTTTTAAAAGATTAAAAATAGAATGTATAGTATGACACCAAAAGAAGATATATATATACACACCTCCAGATGTGTTTTTATAAAGACATAGAGTGATTCTTTCTTGGTTATGGAATTATGAATAGTTCAAATTTTCCTTCTTTGTGCTTTTTCACATATTCTACAATTAATATTTTCGAACAGCAAAAAGCCACCATTTTATACATGTATATAATTATAAAATTAGAAGCAATAACATCTAATACAACTATTGGCAATATTGTATCTGCCTCACATGTATTTTTTAAATGTAACCCTCACAACAACCCCTATGAAGTAGGTTCTACTATTATATACATTTTATACACAGGAAATACAAGCTTTGCATCCAAAATCACAAAGCGAAGTTAGTCAAGCAGTCTGATTCCAAACCCATCCTCTTAATCTCTAGTAAAATAAAGAGACAGACAGACAGACACAGACACACACACACATACACAGGGTAGGTTGATAGTTTTAATAAAATTAGGTAAATGATAGTTGGTTTAAAAAGTCCTTAAGAGACATTCCTTAGGAGTTTCAGAACAGTCATCATTCTCCTTAAAATAATTCTTCTCCAATAGAGCTTACTGGCTAGCACTGCTAGTTTTAAGGTGTGATTCTTCCATGATCCAAATGACCTGGCTGCCCCCTCTACTTAAGACATATGCAGTCTTGGTATTAAAAGATTTTGAAGCCAATAAAGCCAGCTGAGGTTTAATAATAAAAAGGTGTCTTTTTGCCTAAACATGCCTAGCACTTTGTACACTTAAGTATGGCAAAAGCCGCTCTGGACAAGTTTAGAGAATCAGCCAGGTAGCTTTGTTAAAAAAAAAAAAAGCAAGTTGGCATGTCCAATAGCAATACAACACATGGGAACTTAGAAGTAATCTCCCCATAAGAGTCGGGAATTCAGATATCTTGGAGAGCAACCACAAGAGACAAAAGAGTTTAAAAGCAGGATCTTTGAGAAAACAATGAAGAGAAATTCTTCAGTACAGAAGACTAAGAATCGTTGACCACCAGCGCTCATAAAATCCTTCATAATACTTAACTGCCACCGAGAACGGAACCAGAGAAAATGCATTTATGCTGCACCAAAGGAGATTAAGGCTCAACAGTAGCTTCCTGGCCATAATACACAACTCTCTTCTTGGAGAGTCACTCAGCTTATTGCATGCAGTTGTGATTCATTTCTTTTGGTTGCTTTATAGCATTCCATTGTATCGATATACCAGAATGAATTCATGTATTTTATTAATGAATGGTTATTTGGGCTATTCCCATATTTTAAGATCTTGAATAACGCTGCTATGAACATTTTGGCACGTGTTTTCCTGGTATACTTGTGCACACATTTCTCCCTCGAGTTCATCCTTAGAAATGGAATTGCTGGGTCAAATTATTCATTTTGCCAAATTTACTAAATAATGCCCATCTGTTTTCCAAAGTGACCGTACCCATTTATGCTACCCTCAGAGGGCCCCTGATTTCTAGAACTTTTAATTTTTGTCAATCTGGTGTGAAATATACCCTATGATTTTAATTTGCGTCTCTCTGATGACAAATGAAATTAAACCTGTTTCTCATATGCTTATATTTGTGTTTTGTCTTCGATAGGGTGCTTGTTTAAGTCTTTTTCTCATATTCTGTTTTTTTTTAATTGATTTGTAGGAATTCTTTATGTATTCTGCATAATAATTCTTAATCAGTTTTATCTGTAGCATAAGTCGATTGCAAGCTTGTGGCTTGTATTTTCAAATTCTTTATGAAGCATTTGGCTGAGCATAAAATAAGTCCTTAATATTAAGGAAGCTGAATTTACTAATAGTTTCCTTTGAGTTTGCACTGCACTTTTGTAATATTCTGTCCATCACCTCAAATTTAAAAAAACATGATGCTTTTGTAGGGAAAAAATACACATTTTCTCTCTCTGAGGTCTCTTTAAGAGGGATCTCAGAAAAATGAAACAGCTTTATATACTCTGTATAAAGATTTTTTTACAAGCCAAGGATTCCACAGTCATCTCAAGTAGAGGTACTTAAGGAATGGTAAACGTACACCTTTCAGAGCTAATACTACTGTATTACTGATATTACTGTTAAGAGACATTTTGTAAGTAAACTTTTAGAAAACCCAACCCAAATTCTTGACTATGACTGCAATATGTAATTTTTTTCTTCTGTAAAATGTAATAATAGCACCTTACCTTACAGAGTGGTTGTGAAAATTAAATGACCTTAAGTTTTAGGTGGAAGTTTTATAGCTGAGCTGAGCTGCAGAACTGGGCTTGACTTTATAATAGTTACTTGTCCACGCATACTAGCCTCTTACTGAGTGTGACTGCCATTCACGTCACAAGATTTAAAAACTACTCAAGGCATGAACTTCTGAGATCACTCAAAATGATTAAAACTTTAAAAATTAATTTTATTCATGCTAAGGAACTACTGAATTTGTAGTAATTTTGGCCAAAAAAGAATTAGCTATCAAACTGTACTCTTATGTCATACATATATATTTACAGAAGAACCTCTTGTCAGACATTACATTGAGCATAAGGAAGTACATTAAGGGGCTACTAACCTTTTGCATGTGTTATTTTTCGAAGGGTCCTGAAGAAGATGCAGATCCAAAAATGAGAAACAAAAAGCATGAAGATTAACACAATATAAAAATCTTCTTGAATATCTACATAAACTCTGTAGCTAATAACAGAACTTCATCTTTCATGCAATTTCATGTTTACAAATCTATATGCGATGGGTGTGCTGGGAATTCTACTTCTAATAATATACTGGTATTCCCTAGTGAAGAACCATTAATGGAAGCATAAAGAAATGACCTAAACATTTTTTAAAGGTAAAGAAATGCTATTGATACAAACTGTATTGAAATGGACTAATTTGCAGTCACAATGATATGCTTGGTTCACCTGGGCTTGCCACTGGCAGTAGCTAAGATCACATTTTCTGAAAACGTATTCTGAATAGAAATTCTTATCTTATAATATATAGATTAATTATAATATATAGATTAACTCTAAAGCATGCAGATGATTGTTTTGTGGCTTATAGAACTGAGAGCTGGCTTACTCTCTGAAATTATAATAATTATGATTAGAAAACTTAGGGTTTATTTCATAATGAAAAGGGGAAAAATGGAGTTAAGGGAAAGAAAATACCTAAATAACCTTAAAAACAAAATCTTGACAATAAAAAGTAATGAAGTACTGATAATATGCTACAACATGGATGAATCTTGAAAACATCATGCTAAGTGAAAAGAAGCCAGATACAAAAAAACCCCACTCATTATATATGTCCATTTGTATGAAATGTTCAGAATACGTCAATCTAGAGGCAGAAAGCAGAGCACTGGTTTCCCAGGGCTCAGGGGAAGACGAGTTGGAGGAAAATTGAAAACGATTGCTAATGGTTTGGGGTTTCTTTTTGGAATGATGAAAATGTTCCAAAATTGACTATGATTACGGTTGCACAGCTCTGTGAATATATGAAAAAGCCTCGACTTGTACATCTTAAACAGGTGAACTGGATGGGATCTGAATTATATATTAATAAAGCTGTTACTAAATTTTTAAAATTCAAATTAAGTAAATATCAAATGAAACTGTTGATTCTATTAATTAACTGTCTAGTACGAAAGGCCTGCTACCTTACTGCCAGAGAACAATAACCCATTCACATAGGTTACTGCTGCCCAAAATATCATCTCCGCCAGTATGTAGAAGTATGCCAGGGTGTGAACACAGAACATTAGCTGTTTAACCACCAATGTCAGTAATCTCCAAGAATTTCCAAAAACCCTACATACTGGCCTAGATACTTTAGAGCAGACCATGAAATGAGTTTTAACTTCATATATCCAAAATACTGTCATGCAAATGAATACATGCCCCAAACCTGAAAGAAATTAGCCTACAGGCAAGTAAAACGTCTAATAGTAAGTTTTAGATAAACCATAATTATATGCTACTATACTTCTTTGTGACCTTAATAATTACTGTTATCTGGAACATCTCTACCAGAATAGTGTGAATAGGGCTAATTAAAACGTGTCACAGGTCAGTCTTTGTGAAAATACAACAAACGTTTTACAGATTTGGAAAGTGGCGTTAGTGGTTAATTTATAATGTTATCTTTTTAAATATTCCACTATAGCAGCCAAGAAGTAACTGAATTGCATCAAGAAAATGTCCATGGTCTTTTATGCTTTATCCACACACATACCAATGATTTATAACAAAAAATGTAGAGTTAATATTTTTTAAAAATGGGATAATTTGAAAGGTTTACATGAGAGCACTATGGAGTAATAAATGTATTAGATGTTTAATCTGGAATCACATTAAAAGCCATGTATAGTTTGTATAAATGGGTTCTCTAGATTTCAAAACTCTTAGCCTCTTTTACAACCAAAAGCCCTGGACATGTGCTAACTAGTGAGCCTTAAACAATATAGTGAATAAACTGAGAGAAGAAAAAGAGGGAGAGAGACCAGAGAGAACCAGGACCATAAAATGCTGAAATTCCACTAGCTTCCAGCAAGCAAAAAAAAATTAAAATATACATGTTTTTTAACTAAGTACCTCGACCCATGTTTTAAGATCAATCCTTCTCCAGAGGCAAAAAAGGCCAACTTCCCCAACACTGAAGGAAGGAGAGAAAGAAGTGTGTCCTCTCTTTAGTAGACTGACAGCCAAGTAAATGCCAAACTACAGTGACTCCACTTTTAATCAACTGTAATGAAAGAGTTATTTAAGACACTGCTCTTAGTAGCCAACTACCTCAGCCAAGTTTGGAAAGAAGCCAAATAAGTTATTTTTAAATTTAGAAAATTAAAAAGAAAAAGGTTCTATTAACACAATCCCTTCCTTCACCTCCACCCTTCTGTGCTCTCTACACACAGTTCCCCAATTCTCACTTCCACTGCAAAACTCTTGTGCTGAATCTTATGGATGTCTAAGTGAAATTTCAACAGCTCACGATTGACTTTAACCTATCTCTTTGGGGGTTCAAGCATATCTGGCTGGTTATGTTCTTGCCCATATTTCTATTTACATGCAAGATTTTTGGTCAAGAGAACAGTGACTGCTCTCACTCTTTGGCATGGAAAATAGTATTGCAATACTATATGATTTTAGTTACAAGACAGCAGAGCAAATGCAGAGTTCTGGAAAAGCCTTACCAAATAATTAATATACATGTTTCTTTATTCTCTAAGGGATCTGGAATACACTTCCAAATAACCAAACTGCTTTAGGTCTACTCTGATTTCAGCTCAAAATTAACAGAAATTAGCTGTTTAAATAAATTGGTTCCTAAAGTTCAAGGTTCATTAAGGCTTTAATTTCCTCATAAAATAAATAAATACTACCTTAATACATATAAATACAAAAACTAACCTTCGCAGGATAAAAGGAAATATTTCATCTCTGAGTAAGCTTTTCATAAAGCTGCTCATAACTGAAGTTACATCTGAGATCTTCCAGCTCGATGCTACACCAGTTTTCTCACTTATAAAATAAAAGGCTCAGACCAGATTAACTTGAATTCTAAAAGTCATATTCAGTCAACTCAACACAATTTTCTGACCCAAGAGCATTTTAGCAAAACCTACAAAAGCAGCCTTGTAAAGGCCAGAGAGGAGGAAACAGCGTTCTCCCATGTGTAGGAAGACTGGAGCGCTACCACACGTAGGTTTTTCTATCTGTCACCAGGTAATATATAAAGGTGTGCTCTTCCAGATACTCTCCTGAGAGGCACTGCACCATAAGTACTGACCCTCACTGACACTGCTAAAAGAATGATAAAGAAATGTCATAATTGGCAAATATATGGGAAGAACTTGGGGGTTAGTAGGGGCAGTTTTACTATGGAATACTGTATGAAAAAACATGGGAGAACACACACTTAAAAAATGGTGTACTTGGGCTGGCCGAGTGGCTTGATGGTTAAGAACTGGCTTGGGATACCAGAGGGCCCCGGTTCGGATCCCACATATGAGGGCCAGTGACACTGCCCTCTACAGCTAAGATGCTGAACAA